TACCATTCGGGTTCTCTTGGGCATTCAACACCGTTTTCAAAAAATATATATTATTATTGATTGTGGAGAGGAAGGGAGAGGGAGAGAGAGAGAGAAACGTCAATGATGAGAAAGAATCACGAATCGGCTGCCTCCTGCGCGCCCCACAGTGGGGATCGAACGTGCTCTGACCGGGAATCGAACCTCAACCTCCTGGTTCCTAGGTCGATGCTCAACCACTGAGCAACACTGTCCGTCCGGGTGCAGTGTCCTTCTTCTTGCATCCTGTCAGCAGCACGGAGCCCCGCCCAGGCCTCCTCAGGGCATGGGAGGGAGGGCTTCTCGGGGCAGGTTGACTTGAGCTCGGGATGTTGAGTCGGCACCCACATGACAGCCAGCTTCCCGAGTTGGGTGTGGGGACCACTTCTTTATTGAGGGGCTCGCGTGTCCTTGCCAGGGGAGTGCTGATGGACTTTTGCTCAGGAGCTGGTGACCAGAGCCGCCCTCCCCCCACCCCTGCCCCACTCCCACACGCAGCCCAAGAACCAGGCCCACCCTTGGGCCTAGAACAAAGCACAGATCGAAATCCCCTTGGGCCTGCCCTCGACCCTCAGCCTGGGTCTTTTAAATTCCGCCTTTCATCCCCAAGAGGGTGGCTTCGCTGGGCCAAGCATTCGCAAGAAGTGTGGTTTCTTAATCATTCCGAGAGCACGGTTCTTTTTTCTCTGCTCACTTGGCACACGTTTCTGCGCGCGGCCTTGTATTTTATGCTTCCTGTGGAAATAGAGCTGTTAGCGTGAGAGGGAGTGAAGCCGTATGTCAAGGTCGTCCCAGGCAACTTTCTAGCGCATTCCATTGCACGGGTCCTTGGAATAGAGTCAAGGCAAATTATAGACACAGCTCATGTGGTCCATAGGCATCCGGTCTGGGGATGCTCCCGTAACCCAGGTATGTGCCCCAACCGGGAATCGAACCGACGACCTTTTGGTGCACAGGATGATGCTCAACCAACTGAGCCACACTGGCCAGTTAAAAAGCTATTTGCTTTTTAATGTGGTTCACAAATGTATTATTTTTATTTTTTTAACTTTTTTATTTTTGAGAGGAAGGGGGAAGGAGAGGGAGAAAGAAACATCAATGATGAGAATCACGGATCAGCTGCCTCCTGCATGCCCCCTACTGGGGATTGAACCCAGGCATGTGCCCTGACTGGGTATCGAACCATGACCTCCTGGTTCCTAGGTCGAGGCTCAACCACTGAGCCACGCCTGCCGGGCTGGTTCACAATTTAAATCAAACCTCCATCGACTTAGAGCAGCGGTTCTCTACCTGTGGGTCGCCAACCTGTGGGTCGCGACCCCTTTGGGGGTTGAACGACCCTTTCACAGGGGTCGCCTAAGACCATCGGAAAACACATACACAATTACATATTGTTTTTGTGATTAATCACTGTGTTTTAATTATGTTCGATTTGTAACCATGAAAATGCATCCTGCATATCAGATATTTACATGACGATTCACAACAGTAGCAACATGACAGTGATGAAGTAGCAACGAAAATAATCTTATGGTTGGGGGTCACCACAGCACGAGGAACTGTATGAAAGGGTCGCGGCATTAGGAAGGGACTTGGGAATGAGCCTGAACTCAGGACTTGATCCTAACCACCGCGGTTGCCAGTGAATAGACGTAAATTTCTTTCTTGTCATCGGCACATGGCATCCCAGTGACAACCAGGATGGTGCTGGTACTGTGAGCGGTTGGGGGGAGCCCAGGATGGTCCGAGACGTGGGCAAACGAACCAGCAGCTGGGACTGTTTACCCGGGGCTGTTTGCCGGATGGACAGAGTTTACACTGTCCGGTGTTGTTTACTTCTTGAATCCGCAGTCCCCTGGCAAGGCGGTGAGAATTATGTGCTGACACCGTGCAGTTTTCTACTGAAAAAGAAAACAATGAAGCCTCCTTGCCCCCAGTTTCCTCACCGAAGCGGGTGCTCCTCCCAGAAGCGGAAGCGGGAGGCGGAGGGAGAGTGTCTGCCCTGAGATGACACGGCTGGGGGACAGGCCGGGCGGCTCCGGGGACGCGACCGCTGTCGGGATGAATTAAATGGACTTCTCCAGCGTCAGAAAACTCGCCGCAGCCCTGCTCGCCTGTCCTCAGCATCTCCCAGTTAAAATATGTGTTTTGCCAGGGGTGTCGGCGAGGTGGATCTGGGGTAGAAGCACACAGTTGTGTGTTGACCGTGAGCTCCCTACATCTCAGAATCAAAATCTAGGGGACTTTAAAAATATAGACACTTTTTTTTTAATTGATTTCAGTGAGGAAGGGAGAGTTGGAAGAGAGAGAAATACCAGTAGTGAGAGAGAACCACGGATGGGCTGCCTCCTGCACGCCCCCAACTGGGGATCGAGCCCACAACCCTCAATGATGAGAGAGAATCATTGATTGGCTGCCTCCTGCACGCCCCACACTGGGGACTGAGCCCACAAACTGGGCATATGCCCTGATCAGGAATTGAACCGTGACCTCCTGGTTCAGAGGTTGACGCTCAACCACTGAGCCACGCCGGCTGGGCCTGGAGGACGTGTGTGTGTGTGTGTGTGTGTGTGTGTGTGTGCGTGTGTGTGTGTTTACCTCCTCTGCCTCTGTTCCGTGTCTGCTGGGATAAATGAAATATAACCAATAGCTTTAATCTCCATAGCAAGTACATATTCGCTCTATGGGGTTTAAGCCACACACAGAAAGAAGGAGACAATTAAAAGGAGCTATAATGACTTCACCATATCTTGGAGGTAACCGCTGTGAATATTATTGCCTCTGTCCCTTGAGTCTTTTTATCTTTAGGATTAAGAGCATTTGGACCTGACCACGGGGAACCTCTCCTCTATCCCACCCACGCCTCTGTATAAACACATCAAGGTTTAGGGAAATCTTCTAAGTCTGCGAAGATTATCCATTGTCTTCGGTTCATCAGCGCTTTGGTGAGGGAGGCCCGGGGTTTGCCTGGAGGCGCGTGAGTGTTGGAGAAACACGCCGGCCGGGCCGAGTTTTCCTCTTTAGTGGGCGAGCTCCGAGGTGGGGATTGGGTGGGTGTTTGCCGGTTGGTGCCTTTGCAGCCGGAGGCGATGGGGCCTCCGGGAGCCGCCAGCTCACCCTCCCTCTGGACGGCTGTTTCCTCCCAGGGAACGTGCAAGAGCGTGGCCTTTGCTTCCCGCTGAGGCTCATGGCTTCATGCCCATTTAGTCCCTGCAGCCCTTTCTTTTACCGCAACCTGGGATCCCCCCCACCCCCCCGACGTGGTTGTGGGAGTTCACACACTTGCGCACC